ACTAGACAGCCTCCTGCAGCATGGGCAACTTCTTCAGCAGCAGGATCCTGCAGCATTCCCTGCTTCGCCAGTGCCCAGCTCCTGCAGTACCTGGTACCAGCAACACCTGTGGCCAACAGCCTCCCATGGCACCCCCTCCCTCAGGTGGCTTTGTAACAGAGTACTTGCAGCAAAATGTTGCCAGTACCCTAGAGGGTGGATTTCAGGTGAGCTCCAGATTTCTAGTTCCAGCACTAAACCTCTCTGCCAACTCCAACAAGATCTGGATCTCAGCCCTGGCAGGTTTCTTCCTTGGGTGTTTCCTTGAGCCCTAAGGGTTTGACTTCTCCTTGAATCTGATGCTTTTATATTCTTTAGAATCTTACTGGGCAATCCCTCATGAAGCCAATCCCCTGTTATAGTTAATACTTCCTTATGTTAAACTTAAATCTGTTCAAATTACTGTGTGATTTCTTTCCTGATTGGACCCAGATTGATACACTGTCTTGAGAGAGCCAAGAAGAGGTGGTACCACCTTCTATTACATGGCTGTTATCGGCTGAATTGTGTCCTTCCAAAATTCATATGTTGAAGTCCCAACCCCTAGTACCTCAGAATTGTATTTGGAAATAAGTCTTTTAAAGAGGTAATTAAATTAAAATGAGGCTGTTAGAGTGGGTGCTAATCCAGCGTGACTAATGTCCTCGTAAGAGGAAAGCTGGACACAGACACGAGGGGCGCGCGCACAGAGGGGCGGGCGCGTGCACAGAGGGACGGACGTATGAAGGGCCGGCAGGAAGGTGGTCATCTGCAGGCCGAGGGGAGAACCCTGAGGAGAGCCCAACCCGCCAACACCTTCATCTCCAATTTCCAGCCTCCAAAACTGAGAAAACAAATGTCTGTTCTTTAAGCCACCCGCTCTTATGGCAGCCCCAGCACACTAGTCCACTAGCCTTGGCAGTCAGGCAGGGTCATCTGCCACACTGTATTTAGTAGAGGGGAGTCACTAAGTGCAGCCCACAGAAAAGGGGATGGAAATTAGATACCTCTTATGGATGGAAGGAGCATCAGAGAATTTGTGGACATGTTTTAAAATCATCATCACAGAGGCATAGCAGGACTACCGCCAGGTAGGATATATTAATGGTTTGGCCTGGGATGCTGGGAAGTCTAACAATTCAGATTTGAGGAGGTACTGTTGCTAGGACATGAAGACGGGTTGGAAATGGAAGTGAACGTGTGGGAAGGGCAAAGACGGAATTCTGGTTTGGGAACTGCCCAGCTGGATGGAAGCTCCTGACATCTCTAAGAGATGAAGACTGTGTTTGATGTGGAAAAATTGTAAGTTCAGTCTTGGACATGTTGTTTATGGTCCTTTTGAGACATCAGGATGGAGATGTCCAGTAGTTGGGTTCATGTGAGACTAATTAAAAACTTATGCTCTGCAAAAGGATGTTAAAAGGATGAAAGAACAAGCTACAGACAGGGAGAAAATATTTGCAAACTACATATCTGACAAAGAACTCACATCTAGGATATATAGAAAACCCACAGCATATAGACTTGTTGAATCACTATGTTGTACACCTGAAACTAATGTAAAATAGTGTCAACTACACTTCAGTTAAAAAAGAAAAAAGTGTAGTTGGATATCCAGTTGCTCCAGCACCATTTGTTGCAAGGACTATTCTTCCTCCACTGAATTGTTTTTGTATCTTTCTCAAAAACCAGCTGGGCATATTTCTGGGTTCTCTTTTCTGTTCCATTGATCTGTCTATTCCTCTGCCAATAGCACACAATCTTGATTATAGTGACTACATAATAAGTCTTGAAATCAGGTTGACTGATTATTCTCACTTTATTCTTCTTTTGCAAAATTGTTGTAGCTATTCTAGTTCCTTTGCCTTTCAATGCGAATTTTAGAGTAGTCTTGTCTGTATGTACAAAAAATCTCGATGGGATTTTGGTAGGAACTGTATTAAACCTGTATATCAGTTTGTGGAGAATTAACATCTTCACTGTGTTAAGTCTTCCAATCTGTGAATGTGACGTGCCTCATTATTTATTTTGATCTTTGATTTCTTTCATCAGTGTTTTATAGTTTTTAGCATACAGATCCTGTACCTGTTTTGTTAAGATTTGCACCTAAGTATTTCTTTTTTTTTTTTAAGATTTTATTTATTTATTTGAGAGAGAATGAGAGATAGAGAGCACGAGAGGGAAGAGGGTAGAGGGAGAAGCAGACTCCCCGCCAAGCAGGGAGCCCGATGCGGGACTCGATCCCAGGACTCCAGGATCATGACCTGAGCCAAAGGCAGTTGCTTAACCAACTGAGCCACCCAGGCACCCTGCACCTAAGTATTTCTTTTTATTTGAGCAAATAGTATTATATTTTAAAATTTCAGGATGCACATTTTCATTGCTAGTATATAGAAATACAGTTGATTTTTCTATGTTGATCTTGTACTCTGTGACCTTGCCAAATTCACTTATTATTCCCAGGAGGTATTCCCCCCTATGGATTTTCTATGAAGACAACCATTTCATCTGCAAATAGGGATAGTTTTATTTCTTCCTTTCCAATCTATATGCTTTTTATTTCCTTTCATTGCCTTATTGCACTAGCTAGAATTTTCAGTACTATGATGCTTAAGAGTGGTAGCAGGGTGCCTGGGTGGCTCAGTCCATTAAGTGTCCGACTCTTGATTTCGGTTCAGGTCAGGATGTCAGGCTCTTGAGATGGAGCCTGGAGTCAGACTCTGCACTCGGCAGGGAGTCTGCTTAAGTTTCTCTCTCTTCCTCTGCCCCTTCCCCCACTTGCACAATCAATCAATCAATCATTCTTTAAAAAAAAAAAAAGAGTGTTGGGAACAGGCATTCTTTCTTCCCTTCCAGGGGGAAAGCATTCAGGTTTTCACTATTAACTATGATGTTAACTGTAGGCTTTTTGTTAGATATTCTTTATCAAGTTGAAGAAGTTCCCTTCTGAGTTCTCTGAGAGTATTTGTCATGAATGGATGTTGAATTTTGTCAGATTTTTTCTACATTAATTGATAAGATTGATTTTTTTCTTTAGCTCATTAGTATGGTGGATTATACTGAGTAATTTTTGGATATTGAACATGCCTTGCATTCCTGGAATAAACCCCATTTGGTCATGGTAGAGAATTATCTTTATATATTGCTGAATTATATTTGCTAATGTTTTGTTAAGGACTTTTGCATCTGTATTTATGGGAGATATTGTAGTTTCCTTTTTTGTACTGTTTTCTGGTATCAGGGTAATACTGGCTTCATAAAATGAATTGAGACATGTTCCTTCCTATTCTATTTTCTGAAATAGATTATATAGAATTGGTGTTCATTCTTTAAACATTTGGTAGAATTCTCCTATGAAACCATCTGGGACTGGATGTTTCTTTTTCAGGAGTTTTTAAGTTACAAATTCAATTTCCTTAATAGATACAGTGCTATCCAAATTATCTATTTCATTTTGGGTGAATTGTGATAGGCTGTATTTCAAGGAATTGGTCCATTTCATTGAGGTTGTCAAATTTATGTGTGTAGATTTGTTCGTAGTATCCTCTTATTATCTTTTTGATCATGGTCTTTAATGATATCACTTGTTTTATTCTTGTCCAGAACCAGATGTCCTCTCCTTGGCATTTGGAAGGTGCAATCCCAAACCTTTGCCTAAGTTATGAGTTCCCCTGTCTCCCTGTTTCCCTTCAGTCTTTCTGGCTGATCCTTACATGATGGGTCTCCTGACTGGGGTTTATGCCAGGCTCTCTTTACCACATTCCTCCTGATCATACTTACCCTCACAAGTTCCATTTCTATCTGTATGCTGACCTCTACCTTCTAGCTAATTCCCTAAGTTCCAAGACCTGTGTCTCCAACTGCCCACCCTGCAGTGCCTCCTTGACTGTCACAGGCACATTAAATATAACCCATCCAAAACTGAGCTCACCATCCTCTCCCCAGACCTGCTGCCCCTCTAGACCCCTCGTCTCCATGAATGGCAGTGCCATTTACCAGCCAGAGCCCTGGCAGTTGGCCTTGGACCTCCTCCCCCCTCCACTCCCACCTCCTGTCATCATCACTGAAGGCTGTCAGTTCTACCTTCTAAACATCTCTGGATTCTCCCCTGTCTCTGCCACACACCAAGCCACCTACACCATTGCTCTCACCTGCACCACTCGTATCCAGACACCTCGCCTTGGAGGAGTGGCTGGGCAAAAGTTCTCAAATGCAAGTCTGACCATGGCACATCCCCTGTGAGGCCTCCTGGGTGCTTAGATAAGGCTCAAACTCTTTCTTGGGACAAGTAAAACCCTGGATGATCTGGTACATGGTTAAGTCTTGGGCATCTTGCGCAGAGCCCTTTATATGTCTCCATATGCCAGAGGCCTACAATCCTACTGGATTCTGACTGCCTGTTTAATTAAACCACCTATGCACTAGAGTGCCTGTTCTTTGATGCTGGAGGTTATGCTTCCCACTATCCTGCCCCAGGCCCAACACAGTGCATGTGAAGACAAGGCTGCTTGAGAATGGGAGTAAAGGACTGCACGTGGGGTCCAGAATGCTGGTTCCACTACTCACACTCTTTGTGTCACCTTGAGCAAAGCACTTCTGCCTCGGCTTTCCCATATGTAAAATGGGTGCAATCATTCCTCCTCTTCTCAGTGATATATCAGAATCAGAAGACAAAAATACTCGTCGTTGTGAACCAGGACGCCCTAATTTGGTCCCCTCCGCTCTTTTCCCAATAATCAAAACGGTGCCTGGCCCGAAGCAGGACCCGACGCAGGTGAGGCTAACGAGGAGCCCAGGGCGCAGTTTTTCAGGAAGCACTTATTGTCAGATTAATGCAGGTGCGGGGAGCCCCGACTTTGAGTGGCGGGGATTGGCCTCGGCGGGTGGCTGGCCTCACCTGCGTCGGCCCCGCCCAGACGCCTGAAGAAACACGAGACAACCTGCCCTCCAGCGCTAGGCCCGCCCCCTCCGTGACTTGGCTTCCGGGATAGAATGAGGCGCCCTTCTATTGGCTGCTGTTCTCTGGCGTCAGCAAGGAGCGCCCGCCTGTTGCGAAAGTCGTGGAACAGCTGGGCGCGCTACTCGTGCAGATCCTCGGGCGAGTAGATTTCAGAACGCGGTGCAGGTGTCTAGGCGCCTGCTGACCTTGGCCCCCAACCCCGTGAGCCCGCGCCCGACAGCTCAGGGCACCCGGCAAGACCGGCCGCCGTGGCCAGGTAGGTTGGAGTTGTGGGCCGGGCCGGGTCTCAGCCTCCCTCCAGGTCTTCGGCTGAGGTCAGGACTGGACCGGGATCCCGGGCCTCAGCGACCACAGGGACCCGGCGGGGCGGGCCCTCGTGAGTGCCGGAGACAAAGCTGGGGGACTGGTGCGGGGTGCCAAGCAAGTGGGTGGTGGGACACGGTCCCACGTCTCTCAAGCTGCGATGCTTGTGCTGTTTCCACCTCGAATCTCTGCCTCTTTGCTTAAGGACCCTTTTCCAGGAGTTGAATTGAGCTCCTGTTCTGTTGCATCGTAATTACCGCAGAAGCACCAGGGCCACTTTCTAACTGCTACTTTGGCAGATGATTTCTTTAAGCCTCATTGCCCGCTTCTGTAAAATGGGATGTTGTACCTGAGGGAATTGCTGTAGGGCAGAATAAGAACCTGAATGTGCCTGTCATGTGGGAAGGGCATAGTCAGTGGGGCCTGGGGTTATCTTGGAAAGCAGGTGACCAGCCATATCCCTGAAGCGGCAGCCAGCATATGACCAACTTTTCCCAGGCTGACAGAAGACAGGTGGTCAGTGGGCCTCTAGGAGATATCCTGAAGTCTAACCCCCACCACCTCTAGGACACCCTTAGCCCAAGCCAAGAATTTCAGTGTCACCTGGACTTGGATTCAAGTCTCAGCTATTTTCTCTCCTTCCGAACTTGGGCAGATCCCTTCATCTTTCTGGGCCTTGTTTTTTTCATCTGTAAAATGGAACTAACAGTACCTACCTTCCACAACTGTCAGGAGAATTCAATCAGACATTGTAGATAAAGCACTTAAAATAAGACCTGGCATTCAGTGGGAGCAGTAACTATTTTTTCAGTGTGTAGAGTGTCTGAATGCATGCATTTTGGCTTGAACAGATTTTTGACAGTAGCATGGCTGTGTAAGACAGGAGGGCGGAAGTTTCAAAGTTCCTGGTTTTCTGGTTGAACTCCTTGGCCACTACAGTGGTCAGATCAGTGACCTGGGTCTTTAACTGAACATGGCAAATTGAACCATCAGGGTGAGGACCAGGAGTCTGGGACTACCTCCACGTGCCTGAGCATAAAGAGCTACTTTTTAAAGCAAGGACCTATGCAGGGAAGGGACTGTTTGGAATGAAGATCAGACTTAGATTAGAAACAAAACAAGAGAATGGCGTTTGTCTTTGAGTAAAGCCTAGAACTCAAAACAGGACCTGAGCCCTGTTGAAGCCTTCTAAGTGATTTGAGAAGGGAAGACACAGCCATGGTGACAATCACCAAGCTTTCCCAAGTAGTGAAAAGTCAAGCCGCTGCTCCTGGCATTTGTTGATTCAACCGAGTGTAGTGTAGAGCCTTCTGTGTGCCAGGCACAGTGCTGGGCACTGTGGACTCAGCAGTGAAAGAGACAGATGTAGCCCTGGAACCCAGAGAGGAGATAGCCCAGTGATGCCTGTCAGGCTTAGCCCTGCCCTTTGCCTGCAGCCTCTTCCCTCAGGTAGCCTGAACTGCAGCAGGAGAAGCTAATTACTGTCTGGAGAGGTTTGTGGGGGCTGCTCTTAGAAGGCTAGGATAGCCTGGTAGGGGTTTTGGCTTGGTAATGTATTTCAGTAGAAGGGTAAAAGGATCAAACTGGCATTTAAAAAACTGCCTATGACAGCTGTGAAGCCAGTTTCACCAGTGGTCACTTGTCCATGCAGGGCCCCGCTCTTAGCTAAATTCCAGTCCTGCTTATTTTAGCCCAGCCCAGCTCAGCTGAGCATCACTTCCTCAAGAAACTAGAGAAAGGCAGGACCCTTTATTTTCACAGCAGTAGTCCCAATTGCTGGATCTTACTTACAACATCAGTTGTTAGTATCGGTCTCCCCTGAGAGCAAGATGGCAGGGCTGAGTGTGTCAGTGCCTCGGTGGTGCCAGGTACAGTGTAAGCCTGCAGAAAGCACCGGGTGAAGGAGCGTTGGAATCCCTGCCATCTAGATTAGTGCCTGGCATGAAGTCGTCGCTCCTCTAGAAACAATGGGTGTTTCATTACACCCACTGAATTGAGCAAAAAAAATCACCTGATAAAGTGTAACAGGGTGAAATAACTAATAAATGTGTACCACTTCCAGGACTGTGCTATGCCAGGAATGGCTGATGGGGTGAGAGAGCTTGGGCTGCAGCTCGGGAAACTCTGTGGATCCTAATGGTGGTTTCTGTTCCCTCTGTCCCCTAGGACCCACGTTTTTCTTCATAGGTTCTGATGCTGGTGTCCTATAGAAGGTTGCTCACAGCTCTGCTGCAGGCTCAGAAGTGGCCCTTTCAACCCTCCAGAAATATGAGACTGGTGCAGTTCCAGGCACCCCACCTGATGGGACCTCACCTGGGCTTGGAGTCAGGGAATGGCGGGGGCGTCATCAACCTCAACGCCTTTGACCCCACACTGCCCAAGACAATGATGGAGTTCCTGGAGCAGGGAGAGGCCACTCTCTCAGTGGCAAGAAGGTAAATCAGCAGGCACCTACAATGGCTGCCATGCTACCCCCTCCCTTCCCACCCCCATCCCTGCCCTGGGAAACACAATTAGCTGGTAACTCTTGCAAGTAGCAGAGTAACCCTACCTTTCCTTTCTCACCTCTTCTCTTAGTGAAGAGCCTTAGAAATCTTGTATGACAACATCCTCAGGCCCAGGGATGGTGATTAACTATCTCAAGGCCACACATTCGGTGGTGGGGCCGGAACTCTGCTTTGTCACTCTGCCTTCCCCAAGGGATTAGGTTCCTGTCTGCCTGAGAAGTCTGGGATCCGGGGTCCTAGGAGGCATCTTGGGAAGCTTGGGGGAGTCTTTGGATGCTTGGCTCCTTAGAAGAGAGAGGACTGCAAAGAGGTATTCTTAGAGATGGTTCTTGGGTTTGGGCTAGATTAGGTAGGGACTTCCCTGAAGCCAGCAGCCATATGGAATCTGATGAACAGTAAATTAACCACTCTGAGTTATTTTTACATACTAAACTGGCAAAAATACAAATGTTTGACAGCACACAGTATTGGTAACAGTATGTTTCCGATACTGTCGTAGTCTCCCAAGATTACAAACTACTTCCATGTCCCTCATCAGGTAATTGGGTGTATCTGTACTGTGCAGGCACCACAGTCCTGTCAGAAAAGGGGAAAGGTATTACTGTTACGGAGAGATCTCCAAAAAATACGTATTTTTTTTAAAAGGTGTGTTTGGTGTGCTGTCATTTGTGTAAGAAAGGACAGGAGGAGAAGAGTATGTGGAGAGCTACACGGGCCCTGGCAGCTGTGTGCAAGGATGGCGCAGGGGCAGAAGAAAGGCCTTTCCGGTCTTCTCATGTGCACCTTTTCAATTCCTCTACATGACATGTATTACCTAATGGGGGAAAGGAAATTGACACTGGATAAAAAATAAACAGTGCTCTGATATCAAAGGATAATAGCTGGGTTTGGTTTGCACACTGATTGTGATATGTTTGATAGATCTAGAAAATAGATTTGAAAAAGCAAAACTTGTAGCTGCTGCAGTACCTCCCCAGCATGCCCAAGGGTTGCTGGCCTGCTCCTAACCAGTCCCTCTCTCCTGCTCTGGTCTCTGCAGAGCTCTGGCTGCCCAGTTGCCAGTCCTGCCACGGTCAGAGGTGACCTTCCTGGCCCCAGTCACACGGCCAGACAAGGTGGTGTGTGTGGGAATGAATTATGTGGACCACTGCAAAGAGCAGAACGTTCCAGTGCCAAAGGAGCCCATCATCTTCAGCAAGTTTGCCAGCTCCATCGTGGGGCCCTATGATGAGGTTATCCTCCCACCGGAGAGTCAGGTCAGTACCTCCTCATAGGCCCCCAGTCACCGGCCCATCGCCAGGGTGCTCAGCACTCAGCAGCCAGCCTAAAGGAGCTACCTGTTGCATAGTAGTGCATTTAGTAGAAACTACAGGGGATTATACTGTGTAAGGCTAGTTTCAGGGAAAAAAAAGAAATTAACGTATTTTTTACTGATTGCAAAAATACTACACTCTAACTGTAGAAAAATAATAAAATTCAGGATGCATCTTCTAAAGAGTAAGTACAGCATCCTACATGACCATAATAACCACTATCACCACTAAGAAAATTAACATGAATAATACCTAAAAGATAGTCCAGTTGGGAATGTTCCCATTTGCCCCCAAAGATGACTTAATTTGGGTTCTGTTTTACTTTTTGTTTGTTGAACCAGGATCAGTCAAGGCCACGCAGCGTACTTGGTTATGTCTCTTTAGTGCTTTAATCTAGAACAGGGATCTGCAGACTTTCTCAAAGGGTCAGTAAATAAATAATAGACTCTTAATGCCACAGAGTGTCTGTTGCAACAGCTCATCTTTGCCCCTGTCATGTGAATGCAGCCGTGGCTGATACATAAATGAATGAATATGACTGTGTTCCAGGAAAGCTATTTATAAAAGCAGCCAGGAGGCCGGATCTGGCCTGTGGGCCATAGTTTACTGACTTCTGATATCAAACAATCCCCTTGCCCTTTTCTTTCATGACACCTGACTTTGGAAGAATCCTGGCAATTTGTCTTAGCATATCCCATATTCTTTTTCCTCATGATTAGATTTGAGTTAAACATTTTTGTCAAGGATTCTATATAGGTGTTAGTTCATTTGGACTGCTGTAACAAAATAAACCACAAAAATTTATTTCTCAAAGTTCTAGAGGCTGGGAAGTCCAGGATCACGGTGCCGATACATTTGGTGCTTGGGGAGAGCCGGCTTCCTGATTCACAGACTACTCTCTTTTAGCTGTTTTCTCACATGGTAGAAGGGGCAAGGGATCTCTCTGGGATCTCTTTTATAAGGGCACTAACCCTATTCATGAGAGCTTCACCTTCATGACCTAGTTACTTCCAAAAGGCTCTACCTCCTGATATTATCACATTGGGGGTTAGGTTTCAACATACGAATTTCAGGGTAAGGGGCACATTCAGTCTGAAGCAACAGATGTGTATTGCACCCCACTGGGAGGCTTACGTCAGATGGTCCTAAAGTCTGATCACTTGGTTTACTTGATGTTGACTAGATCTCATCGGAAAGGTGTATTTCACTGTGGTAATTAATAAGCAGTCTACAGGGTAGGAATTTGAGACCCTGCGGACTATCTTATTGCCTCACAGCTTTTCATCCAGGGATCCTCACCTGAATTCATTACTTTGGGGGTTAGAAAAAGGTGATTTTTCTATCATTCCTTCTTATTATCTGGCATTTTGTGAAGAAAAGCTACCTCCCTTCTTTTTTTACTCCTGTCCCTTTAGTAGGACTGTGTATTCCTGATTTTCATTTTTATCCAGTATGTTATAGTCCATCACTTATATTCTTTTTGATACTCTAAGGGGGTCTCAATTTGGCCAGTGGGTGGCTTCAGGTTGGCCCCAGCCCTGTCACTTTTTGAGTACTTCCTTGCTTTCTGACCAAGATATTTCAGGCTCATCTTGTACTGTCTCCAACCTGGAATTAGCCATTTCCCCCAAGGAACCCATTTCTGTCTAGTGGGGACCAGTGCTAGAGACCAAGATTGGGTGTCGGCTGTGCTCAGAGCAATTCTGGTTGTTACCATTAGAAAGAGCAAGCAATTTGAAAGGCTAAGTTGTATCTCTCTTATAGTTGCACTTTGCTGATTATGGGAAAGGCTGTGCATGTTTTCTTTTTTCTGTGCTGTGCCCATTTCTTTTAAGTGAGTTAATACCTGGAAGCACTTAGGATGCTCTTGGCACACAGTAGGGTTAGCTGTTATTACTTGGTATTCATTCTTTTTTGAAAGTATTGAGTGACTTGTAAATTCAGTGCCCAGACTCATGTTGCCTTTCATAAAAAATTTATAATCTCTACACCCAATGTGGGGCTCGAACTCACAACCCTGAGATCAAGTCACATGCTGTACCAAGTGAGCCAGCCAGGTGCTCCCCACAGTGGGGAGCTGTGACTGCATGCAGTGGTGCTGCCTGCCACTGCCCACGTTTATGGGTCTACAGGCCACACCTCCCCCCTCCTTCACTACATCTGGTTCATGGTGATTACAACTGTGGGCCCACAGCCAAGCCCCACTGTCAGAGGGAACAGGCCTCTGGAGCCAGGCAGCTCACTGCTTCGTTCTCTACAGGAGGTGGACTGGGAGGTGGAGCTGGCTGTGGTCATTGGAAAGAAAGGCAAGCGCATCAAGGTAAGGTGGTAGAGATGCCAGCCGTCTCTGGCATTGGGAAGTAGACGGCGACTACCTGCTCCCTGACTGCCTTATTCCTTGCCCATGTTTGGCTAGTTCTGGCGACTGACATGGGATAAAGGCTTGGTTATGGGGGTTGGTCTCACCGTGATGATCTAACTTCCAATCTGGCCAAATCCCCTGTCCCCTAAAGGCCACAGATGCCATGGCTCACGTGGCCGGCTTCACTGTGGCTCATGATGTAAGTGCTCGTGACTGGCAAATGAGACGCAATGGAAAGCAGTGGCTGCTGGGAAAAACCTTTGACACCTTCTGCCCCCTGGGCCCTGCCTTGGTGACCAAGGACAGCATAGCAGGTAGGTCTTGGATAGCCCACATGGTGACTCTTTTGCATGGACACAGAGTCAATGAAAAGCCATACTCAGGAAATTGGAATTTGGAGTTACCTTTGAGAGCAAGTCTCACCCTAGGCCATGCGTTCCACAGGCCTCCTTCCATGTCCCTCACTACAGAGGTGGTAGAACTTCCTCTAGCTGCCACTATCTGTGAGCGTCTTTAAGTTGGCAGGAAGCAGAAGTAATGGCTGCCAGAAGCCCCTGCCTTTTCCCCAGGAAGGGAGATGGGAGAGCACAGCGGCACCTCCACAGCCAGTGGTACCAGGGCAGCACCCGTTCTAGGCAGCAAGGTGAGCCAGGAGGAAAGCCCATCATCAAGAGGGCAGAGCACAACCATTTCGGTAGGCATGTGTCCATGCGGCCCAGGTTTACACCACCCTGTGCAGCCATCAGTGAAGTGAAATTGTGTTCCAGCTGCTCTGAGGGGGGTGTGAGTGTATAAAGCAAAAAAGACAAAGGTGCTCATTAGCCAGGACACTATTACAGGTAAGCTGTCCCCTGCCGTCAGGTGCAGGAGGCGTCTGTGCCCATCTGGGTGGTTATCCTGCTGGACTACAGATACCCAGTAGTTTTTATATCTGCAGTGGTCAGCCTCTGCTGTGGATAGAGGAGGGTCTGGGACATCCCTCCTTAACCCACCCCAGTGACCACTGGCAGATGCTCTGCTAGGTGGTAGATGAAGGAAGACTTGAGGAGGCCAATGTCCATACAGAAAGTTCCAGGGTAGGGAGTGCTGAGTGGGCATGAAGTGCCAGGAGTACATGCAGGGAGACTAGCAGACAAAGCTACCTTGTGCATTTGCTTTCTGAGTAAAGGGAGGGTTTTGAGGGAAAACAAGGAGAACCCCAAGGTGGTGTGTTTACATTTTACTTTTACATTTTACTTTTACATTTTTCAGATCCACACAACTTAAAGATCTGCTGCCGAGTGAATGGGGAGGTGGTCCAGAGCAGCAATACCAACCAGATGGTATTTAAGACAGAAGAGCTGGTAGCCTGGGTGTCCCAGTAAGTGGGATGGGGCCCTACTCCACACACCCACCTGAGGCTGAGCTGAGCCTTGCAGCCCTGGCTCTGGCCACCTCGGCCCCTGGTCTCACCTGTCTCTTCTGCCCCAGGTTCGTTACTCTTTACCCAGGGGACGTCATCCTGACTGGGACCCCCCCAGGTGTTGGTGTATTCAGGAAACCTCCAGTCTTTCTCAAGGTAAGTTGACTAAAAGGTGGAAAGGGAACAAGGACCCAGAATCTCTGGCAGGCTTGTGAGATCCAGGCCCGTATGAGGCCAAAGGACTAATGTCCTGACCTTCTCTGTTACAGAAGGGGGATGAAGTTCAGTGTGAAATTGAAGAACTAGGCATCATCATCAACAAGGTGGTGTGAGGGCTCTCCCCACAGGCCCTGGACTTAGGAAGTGGGGCATCCATTCTCTCCCAGGGCCAGCTGCCTCTTCCAGGTAGAGAGGAGAAGCTTGCTCTCCTTGTCAATAAAATTCTCAGCCAAAGCAGCAGCTTGGCTTCTGCTACAGTTTGTCTTTTAGGGTTTTAAGGAACAAGACAGGGCATTCTCACAGGGTGGGGAAGGAGAGAACTGATACCCCAAAAAGACACTTCTGGGCTTGGGAAAAAACCTGTGATACCCCAAAAAGACACTTCTGGGCTTGGGAAAAAACCTGTCCAGTCCCCTTGTTTAACACACCAAAGGATGGAAAATGAAGAGACGGCAAGAGCCAATGAAGCACAAAAGATTTTATAGTTCAGGTAAGGGTGTGCAGCCCCCTGTCTTCTGGCTCCAGACACAGCTATGTTCTGGGGCTGAGAAGTTACCCCACAGTTCTAGCTACAAATGAACTGCCGGATGAACTGCTCCAGCTTTTCCTGATTTTCCCGGCTGGTGAATGTAGGGGACAGGCAGAGCATGGGGCCTGCAGGGCTGGGCGTCTGCTGCAGCACCTGGGCCAGAGGGAAGGGCTATGAGCGCTCACCATGGGTGCTGTGCCTGTCCCCCAGCACGCTGCAAGTGAGACCTCGGGCCCCTTAGGCCTGGAGTGCAGGTGTTGCCTCTTAAACCCAAGAGTAGGATGAGACAGTGGTTTAGGAGACCAAAGGGGCCACGAAAGCCATCCTACCTTCACCACGCCTATTCTGAGACACTAGGTAAACCCCAGGGTGGGCACAGCTAGGTTCCCTGAGCAGCTCTATCAATCAGTATAGGGATGGGAAGCACGAGGATGGTGAGACTGGCTCCTCTTACCCCCAGGTCTCTGAAGGTCCAGATAGCACTGATGGCAAGATTTTGGTCTGCACACTCTGGAAGGAAGGGAGAAGTGAAGGCTGTAGGGAGGAGCAGGGAACCACCGGGCGCAGGCTTCTCTTGTGCTGAAAGGAGGAACTAGCCAAGGCTAGGGCTCAGACAAGACGCAAAGACGCTCTCTCTACAACCCTTCTTCCTGGAGTTGCGATGTCACTGCCCAGCAGGGGGCAGCAGCCACCAGCAAACCCTTCCCTGCCTCTGGGGAGCCTGGACTGGCTGCCTGGGACTTACCAAAGAACCCTTCCTCATGGGCAGTGGCCTGCAAGAACTGCAAGAGCTGCTCGGTGTAGCCGGACTCTGGGAGAAAGAAGATGTGAGCCTGGGGCTCCTGCCCTGAGCTCTCAGCCTCCCCCTGTGGCTGGCCAGTGTGGGACACAGGCCTTACCCGTATCAGGCAACTGTCCCCGGTGAAGGAAGGTGGCAGCCTGTGCAAAGGCCTTGAGCAGCGGGCTAAGCAGGCGGCAGAGGAAGAGGAAGAAGTCAGGGCAGCGTGACTGCTGACTGAGCTGGAGGGGGACAGACCAGAGTGAGGGCCGTTCCCACTGGTCGCCTGCCTCCGCACCCCCGACGTGGCTTCTCCCAACTTACCCTGAAGTACCGGCCCTCAGCCTCCTCGAAGTCATCACTGTCACTGTCAGTAAAGTCCCCACTCGGTTTCCACAGCAGCTTTGCACTTAAACGCTGCCGCCCTGTGTCACAGGCTGGCCGGGAGCCTGGGGTCTGGGAACCATGGGAGCCATTGGTCCCTGACAGGTTCAGCCCTGAGCCCCCACTTCCCTAGACCAGGTACTTGGCAGACCAGGCATGTGGGGGTGAAACCAGTAAAAGCAGACCTAGGGAGCCCAAGAAGACACCCAGGGCCATGCAAGACCATGGCACCTGCTGAGCCAACTTGCAGGGTGAGAGGAAGTGAGTGCTGACCCTCAAGGGCCACAGTCTGTGGACAAGAACTGTAAGGGGCAGGAAACATCCAGAGGACTGCAGAGGTACGGTTGTCCAGTCCTGTCATGATAGGGCAGATGGGGCAAAGCCCGAGGCAAAGACTGGCAGAGGCAGGACCCAGGCCTCCCTGTCAGCCAGGCTAGGAGCACGCCCACCCCCACAGCACGCTGGGACAGGAGGAGGAGGCTGGGGCAGGAGGAGGAGTCTGGGGCAGCTGTCCCTCAGGGTGGGAGTAGGTGGCCAGGCCCCAGACTGGGACTTTGTCTCCAGCCGCCCTTCCTACCTCCTCAGCAACCAGGAGCCCACACTGGATAAGACGGTCCAGCACTTCCTGACAGTAGCAGTAGGAAGACTGGCAGGGCTGAGGAGAAAAGCATTCTGTGGCCTCAGAACCAGGCAGCGGGCAAGGGAGACCTAAGGCCGCAGGAAGACGTAGGGGCCTGTGCCTGCCCAGTCCCTCCCCCTCCACAACCAAGGGGAGGCCCAGGACCATGTGGGGCTGGGGGGAGAGGCCTGACCTGCAGCAGCAGCAGGTCCTGGGGCAGCAGGTGCAGCAGGAGCAGGATCTGACGGTACAGCTCGTTCTGGCTCAGCAGCTCGATGCCCTGTAACTCCCAGGGCCCCTCAGGTGGCATTCTGCCTGCCAGCAGACCCCGAACAGCGCAGGCTGGGGGAGGAAAGGGCCAGGCATGAGGAGGGACGCCATTTGCCTCACCCCTACACACGTCCCACCCAATCCAAGCCCTGGGGACTCACCACCTACAGCTTCACTCAGGAAGGCAGGTAGGAGCTCGGCGCTCAGGCGTGCCAGGTGTGTGAAACCCGGGCCTGGCCGAGGAACTACCAGTAAGTCCCCCTGATGGACGCGCAGCAGGGCCACATGCGCCCGTAGCAGGCTCAGCGTGTGTCGCACGAGGCACCGCAACTGCCCTGAGAAGCCCACGTCAAAGCCACGCAGTAGCGTCTCCTCGGTCAGCCAGGAGAACTCCCCCAGGAGCTGGGACAGGAACACACCCTGGGGGCCAGGGTAGTACGGGGCTGAGCAGGAGGGCTACACCCCTCCCCCAGCCCCCTACCACTCTGTCCCCTACCTTCTGATGCTTGAAGAGCAGCAGTGTCGCCATGATGGCTGTGCTCATCACTGCCGAGCTGGTCACACTGGCTGGGGCCGGGGGTGGGAAATGCTTGTCAGGGCCCAAGGCCCAGGGGCCTAGTCCCTCCACCGCCCCAGCAAGTCTTCCTAGTACAAGAACATTCCTCCCGCACCCCCGCTGGCAGCAGGCACCCCCCCCCACACACACACACACACACAAACTCTACCCTAGGCAAGGGGAGAGAAGGCCTGGTCCTTGAGTGCCACCCTTCCCTGTGGAAAACCAACATTTATCAAATACACGATGGGAGCTCAGGGACCTTCCCTGCCTCTCACAGGCCCGCTCACCCCCACGGTCTCTGCCACAAAAGGGGCACTCAAGAAGAGTAATAAAGAGAATTCTGTTAATACAGTATCTGGTACAGAGGGTGCTCTTAAGTCCCTTATGTGCATAATTCCATGCAATTGACATCCCCTTCATTTACAACTAAGGAGACCAGGCTCAGGTGAAGTGATGAGCCTAAGGCAGGGCCAGGTATGGCCTTGGGTAGGTGGCTCATCCAGCCAGCTCCCCCTGCACAGTGCACCCTCCACAGCTTAGCCAGCCTGTGCACTCATCTAGTGGCTCCCTCAGGTTCTCCCTGGCTGCCCTGCTTCCCGGGAGCAAGGTGGGTTCCACTCCACATGTCCCAAGTGGGCCAACACAGGAGTGGAAGTCAGGTGCAGAAACCCATTTGGAAAGGCGGGCCCCAAAGACTAGCTGACCCAGTAAAAAGAATGCTCAGAAGCCCCCCACCCCCACCCCCCAAGGCTCAGACCTAGCTCCCCCTCACCATTCAGGACATGACGACTCAGCCTCCTGACCAGGAGCTGGTCCTCTTCCTTAAATGCCAGAAGGGGCCCAGTTGCTGGAGTCCACTCCTGCTCCTTCTCAGTGTCTGGGACAACAGTACTGGGATAGAGACATACATCACGAGATAAAGGGACCAAACCTCAAAACAGTTGTGGGGAAGCCCAAAGCCTTCTCAAAGGTGAGGGTGTTTCCCCACGCCCACTCCCAAGGCAAGAGGTGGTTCGTGTAACCCTAGCCCTTTCCAGGTCTGTGTGCCATGTCCCAGTCAGATTATAGGCAAGGCAGGGTGCCTGGCTCTGTTCTAGATGACCCATGGATATCTGGAGAGGGAAGGATGGAGCTGGTGATGTGTTTGTGGGTATGGGGAAAGAAGGTGCCAGCTCACAAGCTGGGGCTGAAGGGCTGCCTGCCTTGCCCCTGAGACCCACACACCCATGCCCCTACCATTGGCCCAGCACGATGGGCTGCAGCAGCTGCTCCAGGGTCTGCCTGCTGCCCCAGCAGCTTCTGGCATTGATGGTGTATTCCTGCCCAGGACAAGGTTCTTAGGCAGACTAACCTGGCCCACCAGGAAGCCTGCACACAGCCCATCTGAGGTAAGCAAGGCTATCCCTGCAGAGGCTCTGAGGGCCAGGCCGCCAGAAGCCCCAGAACAGACCCCAGGTACTCCCAGCCTCGTCCAGCAGGCTGCATACCTGTAGGGAGAAGGGCTGGGCCAGGTGCACACGGACACAGACCCTGGGGCTGTGGCCCCAGCCTCGAAGGCTCCGCAGGACAGCCAGTGCTCCTGTCCACAACCCCAATGGGGCCAAGGCCTGCAGGGAGGGAGGGGCTGCGTGAGCAAACTGCCTAGGGGCACTATTTTCTGCTCTGTTTTATCTTGGGCCCCACTGGTGCATGACCATGACCTCTTTCTTCAAGCTTCTCATCCATGAAACAGGAGAAATCCCTCTAACTGGGTCTTTAGAAGATGAAATGACTGGATAAGTCTAAGTGCATTGGCAAGTGCCACCGAACGATGACTGGAGGGATAGAATTCTTTTGCACTCCCCTTGACTCTAACCCTAAGAGGAGCTGGCCAGAGGATACAGTAATGTGTCTCCTTGCTAGAGATGGTGTCCACTTGGAGTCACTGGGGGCAGGACTCACATGGTATACATCACAGGGGGCATCTGGAACCAGGTCATAGGTGATAGCCACTGGAACTAGCATGGCATCTGGGATGACGCCCACCTGGACAGCCTGTACCACCAGTCCCAGCCAGGTCTGGCCCAGGGCTGACAGCCGAGGCCCCTTGGCCCCAGGATGCTCCTCCAGGAATATGAGCAAGGGCTGCCTGCTGACCAACAGCTGCTCCACAGCCTGGAAGGGGGTTGGGGGAGGCAGGTATCAAGGCCAGAGCAGCAACAAGCCCCTGTACCCTGGTCTGGCCCCAACGGTACCACTGGGGGCACTTACGGCATGGACCACAGCCCTCGCAAGGACCCCCTCAGGGCTGTCCAGGGTGAGGTTGGCCTCTGGGGGCAAGAAAAGCCCCCCAAGCTTCTTTAGCAGAGCTCTGTGGGGCATAAGGCAAAGCTTGATCAATGAAGGGGCTCAGGAGATGGGACCAGGCAGGAGGCTAGTGACAACCTTGGCCCACCGGGGCCAGCCTGGGTCCTGCCTGAACACTCCGAAGCCAGGCATGGCCCTAAGGCTCATAGCTGACCCTCCACCTGAGCCCCACGGGCTGAGATGACAAAAGAGTTGGGAGCAGAAAGACCAGGAAGAGGGCCTCTGGGGAACTGCTGCCAGCAACACCCCTGTACACATCCCCACACACCCCTACCCCAGGTGGGGACTTCTCCCCTGTATGTCCAGGGGCACAAGGCTTTTACCTGAGGGTGGGGGAGCAGGTGCGGGGGTCCCAAGCCACACGGAGCACACCTAGGCCTTGGGAGAGCAGCACAAAGGGCAGCAGGATCCCATCCAGGAGTGACTTGTGGGTAGAGAGGAGGACAAGCGGCAAGCCCTGCTTGGGGAGAGCCAGAGGGAAGTGCCAATCCGCCCCCACCCTGAAGATACAGGAAGCTGAAACCCAGCACCTCCAGACCCAGGGCAGCCCCAGAGGGAGGGAGGGTTCAGCTGAGCAGTTCTTCCTCTGAGCACATTTCCCAAAAGTAGAGGAGCTCTGTCAACAACTTTTAAGGTAATGCACTGATGTAATGGTTAAGACCATGATGAAAAGACGTTAGAGGGAGCCCCATGGGAGCGAGACCGTGAGACACGAAGAGAAGGTCGTCAAAGAGCAGTGGATTTTTCCCACCAGCTGATGGGGCTGGTCCCAACTTAGGGCTTAGCCTAGCCTCTGTTCCTCTGTTCCCGCCATCCCCAGCCCAACGGAGGGCGGGCCTTACTGCCTGCGCGGCCTTGTGGACCATCTTCATCTGGCCCTTATGGAGCTGCACGTTCAGGAAGACACAGTTCAGGAACCGCAGCAGTGCCCAGCTGAACAGCCTGGAGAGTGACACCCAGTGTGAGGTGTGTCAGGGCCCTGCCCATGAGTCAGGGCCCATGGCACCTCAGGAGGCTACCCAGCACTCCTGTAAGGCAAGTGCTATTACTGTCCCCACTTTATGGAAGAGGAAGTGAGGCTTGGGCAGGTTACAGAAGCTAATAAGAAGTAGTAGAGAAAGCTAAGAAGTGGTGATGTGGAGACTTGGAAGGCAGGCCTGACACCAAAGCCCATGCCTATAAGGTGCTGTTACTTTCCCAAGATCTCATGGTGCAACTGCCTCAAATCAGGTTCAGAGCACCTCCCTGCCTCCATTTACCCTAAAAGAAATTAGAGGACCAAGACTCTCTCCAGGCATAACCCAGCTTGGTCTTTGAAAACTCCTGGGAAGGGTGAAATACAAAGGAGGGAGTTCGTGATACAAAAAGGGGATAACTAAAAGGGCCAAATCTCTGAGGAGGCATTCCCAAGAGGCCCAATGCGGGGGGACTGGCGTTGAATGAGGACAGAAGTGTAGATGCAAGGTGCACAGAGATGTGGTGGACGAGCAGCATGCCCTCGTCCAATGGCTTCTACTTCTCCATGAAGCATGAGATGGGGCCATCAGTTAACAGTGAGTAAATCTGAGAAGTCCGGATCAGAGTCTCAGCAGATGCTGTATGCCTCTTTGAAAATCTCATAAAGGAAACATTTGACTGCTTAGGTACAGAGAAGGCAGGTAGCTGGGTTCAGACAGAACCAGTGACTCCTTCCCAAGGGCATCATCATCACGATGAGCCCTGGAATCGAAGCAAGACCAGGAGAGAAGAAAAGACAAGAGAGGGGCTGATGGATGGTGTAAAGGTGGTCAGGTCAAGGGACTGAAGTCTCAGCAAAGTCAAAGAATTGTCACATGGAGGGCTGGTCAAAGTTACCAACAACCTCTACTTCCTGTCCTAACTAAGCAGTTGACCACTGAGCACTTTCAAGACAGCTGTGCCTTCTTTCCCTCAGTGACTCATTCATCTCTTGGTTTTAAATATCATCTATATGCTAAAGCTTTGCAAACCTATGTTCCTGGCCTCAACCTCTTCTGAGTTCCAGACTCATGAGCAACTGCCTCTTCAGGGTCTCTACCAACATGTCAGGTATCTGAAACTCTATGGCCAAAGTATCCTTTGTGGGCCAAACTCACCCCTCCCCAAACCTGCCCCCTCCATCCACACCACCAGGTGCACTGCCAAAACCCTGGCTCTCCCATGATTTCTCCCTTTCCCCTCAGTGCCCCCACCTTCACCCTTCAATCCACCAGTGACCTATTAATTTCACATTGGTCTTTCGATCCATTTTTCCAACCCCTACTGTCACCACCACATGCCTCATCGTGGAATCTCACCTGGACTAACAAAGCTTCCCAGATGGTCTTCTGTTCTCTGCTCTTGATCCCAATTCACCTTGTTGGCATTTCCTGCTTAAAACCTTTCCATTGGTTTTCACTGCACTTAGAAATCAAATCCAAACTTCTAAAATGGCCATGCATATCTTGTCCCTTCTACCTCTCAATTTTGTCTCCGACAGCTCTCTCACTCACTCAGCTTGCAACCACAGCTTCGTGAGCAAAAGTGGCCATTTCCTATGGCCATAGCTCATACTATTCCCTCTAGTAGGATTGTTCCCTCCATCCTTGCTCCCTCAAGGTTGGCTCCTTTCCCCCTTTTGTCCCTGTCTTACAAGTCTCCTCCTCCCCCCACACCTATTTTCAATCTTAACCCTTGTTCTGTCCTTCTTTCAGCCATATGTTTACTCTGCCCTGTGCATCCCTCCATTCTTCAGGAACAAGGCCCTGCATCTAAGAGGAGCTCAGACTTGTGCCAGATGAGTGCAGGAGGGAGCATAGGGGCCTATAAGATGGGGAAGCAGCCACCTCACCTCTCTCCACAGGAACCTGATCTGGGGAGAGGAAGAAGGATGGAGAGGGAACTGGAGTCTGGGCCACAACCAGGGGTTCCTGGGGTGACCCCCAAGCCCCTATCCCCAGGACTGACAGACAACACCAGGCCAGCAATGGTGAGAACCTGGGCTGGAAGCCGGCTCAGATCAGAGCCTTACCCCATACCTGACTAGTCCCATCAAAGGGCCAGCTGTCCTTGAAAGAGATCACAATGTCCAGATCAGGGGCTCCCTTCAGGCTCTCTGGTAAACACACCATCCAGCTTCCCAGGAGGGGAGTCCAGTATTTCCCCAAACCTAGCCAACACCCACTCTCCAGAAGGGCAGAGGCCCCAGCCCAGAAAAGAGTGCCCCTCACCAGTTACCTGAGCAGGAAGGGATGGATTGGAGCCTGGATATGGCCCAAGATGCGCTGTACCTCTTTCTTCACAAGGCCTGGTACCTGCCCTTCCCCAGTCCCTCCTGGGACCCTCCCTGAGATGACATTCTGCACCCTGTGGTGTGAGGGGGAGTGGTGTCAGGCTGGGGCAGGCCTAAGATCTCTCAGATAACTTCCTTCAGCACCCCAGCATCCCCAGAACACAGACTCCTGTATTTATCCTCCATCTTTAAGGAAGGGCCCCAGCAAAGCTAACAGTCTAGAAGCCAGCCCTCTAAACCACCCCTGCCTAGAATGCTGGTCATCCCTTCAAGGGTCTCAAAAGTGCCAGCCAGACTCCAATCCCTGCTTCCTCACCGAGTGCTTTCCATGATCTTCTGTGGGGCATCCTGACAGGGTGGTATGCGCTGCTCCAATGACCATAAGAAATAGCAGAGCCTCCGAACCAGCCAGCCCCGAAACCTGGACACAGCCCCCAGAGCAGGAGGGTGGTGATCTTTCAGAGGGCCCATACCCCACTAGGGTCTACAGAGGGTATTCCACCAGGAAGGGATCACACCTGAGTCCCATGGGCTGGGAACACTTGAGCTTGGCTTATCATGGAGCAGGAAGAAGCAGCACTTGCCCAACTGTGCCCCATTCCCCCCCTCTCCCTGAGCGGGATACAGGTTTAGGGCCTGACACACATTGGGCAATCCATAAATGCTCGGAGAAGAAACTGCAGGAGAGCTCCCAGCCTGCCTCTCCCCACCTGTGGGTATGGAGCAGAGGGCAGGGGCCCTTCTTTTTCCACCAAAAGAAAAACTAATGACACCACAAAACAGGGCCCCAGCGGCCCTGCACCCAAGGACCCTGCCCACCGCCTTCCCCCCCAGCTCCCAGCCCTACCTGGTGTTCTCCTCCTTCACCAGGACCACATTGCAGAAGCCTAGATCCATTATGCTTCTGTGGAAGAGGGACTCCTGCAGGAGAGGGGCCACAGACAGTATGTCCCTGGGGACCTTAACAAACCAAGAGAGGAGAGCTTCCACTCTATATTCTGTAGGCTTTGCCTGACGGGAGTATTGAGTAACCCAGAAGACAAAATTATAGTACAGCATTTCAATTCTCAGATCCCAAGACTCACTCAGGAGAAAGGGTCCCATAGTCAAAATGGAAGTGCTGCATGCTCTACAGAATCCCCCTCGTGGAGAGTAGCACACAGTTTCTGAGAAGTTCTCTTGTCAACAGCAGAGAACACGTAGCCTGGATCTTTGCCAGGACCCTGGGGCTCATCAGCACCAGCACATGGTATGGATGCATGAGGTCTTCAAGCATGTGTTGAGTGCTGTGTGACTTTAAGTGGGCAGTGTCCCCAGAACTGAACAAGACTCATGCAGGCCTGGCCAGACCCCAGCCCTCTGGCCATGCCCCATCTCCTCTCTCGGCACTACCCCAACTCTTGAAGGCCTGGAAGCCAGCCCTGACCAACAACACAACCAACACCAGTGCATCCATTCCCCTGAAAGACAAGAGCACAGGCATGGGTCAAGGAGGGCTGAACATAAAGAAAGCTGCTTCCCAGAGCGGTGGCTCCCATTGTCCATTTCCCCAAGTTTCTCTGGTGGGGCCCAGCCCTACCATCACTCACCCAGCTCTTGGGAGTGCAGGTTTGGCAGCAGCGACCCACAAAGGGGCGATATTTCCCCAGGAATGGGGTAATAGCCTCCAGCTTCATCCCAAAGCCTGAGGACCACAAGCTGGTCTGGAAAAGGGTCACAGGAAGAAATTAGAGGACTCAAAATCCTTGGCAGAGGGAAGGGGGCTCCAGAAGTGAGGGGGCACAGAAGGGGTGACAGGACAGAAGGTATTTTGGGAATGGGAGGGGCCACATTACCTCCTGGCTGTTCTGGGTGTTCCTCTGCTGGGTTTGGAGTCTGGCTTCCAACATGGTATCCATGGGGGCCTATAAAATCTGGGAACGAGCCACTTCTCCCTCTCCCTCTCTCTCTCTCTCCCCACCGGAACCCGACCTGGGGAGAGGAAGAAGGATGGAGGGGGAACTGGAGTTTGGGGAACAAGGGGTCCTGGAGTGACCCTCCCAAGTCCTCAACCCCAGGACAGACAGACAACACCCAAGCCAGCAGTGGTGAGAAGCTGGGCTGGAAGCTGGCTCAGATCAAAGCCCCACCCCATACCCGACATGTCCCACAAAGGAGCCAGCTGTCCTCAAAAGGTTTCAGTGTCCAGATCAGGGGCTCCCCCAGGCTAACATGAAGGGGATCGGCTATCTTATCAGCAGCAGCCACCCCGCCATCTCACAGCACAGATGAGGGCTATAATGGAGACTGAGACCCCTTCTGTGCACAGGGAAAGAACAAGGCTGGATTGGCATGAAGGAGGCGTCAGACTGCCAAAGAGGAACAGGACCATCGCCACAAGGCCACCAGGTCCTGCTCAGCGGCTCTTCTCCCTTGCACAAGAGAGCACTTTATCCATCCAATCATTACAGGAATGTGGGCATAAGGTATGAGGTGGGGGGACAGTTGGAGGGTCAGAACACAGAGAAATGCCACACAGACCTGTTCCCAAGGAACGCTCATCTGGTTGGGGACAAGATAGGCTTTTCCAAAGTGGATCCCATCCCCTTTTACTCAGTACTCTCCACCAAAGCTCCCACTTGGTATCTCCTCAGCCCCTCCCTCCCACCACAATATTCCCCTGAACTAACAAACATCTTCCACAAAACAACACTGAACCCCTCCCAGCCTAGAAACTGGATGCTAAAAACCCCTCTACCCTGATTTCTCACCATGTCCCTGGGTAGGCTGATCCAATTATTTATGTTACCCCACCACACAATGCACATATCCATGTGGAAGTGCCTTCTCCCTTCCCCGCCATCCCACCAAATTTTGTCCAGGGCTCTAAATCCATGATGCCTCTGGATCACCCTCTAGTTTTTTCCTCTCTTCCTTGGTTCCCCCAGCCCAAGCTTGCTGGGCAAGAAGCCTCCTCCAGGATTGAAGTTTCATTTCCCCACATCATCTGAAAGTCTCCTGGGGGCAAGGGCTGCAGTGGACACATCTCCATATGCGCAGCAGTCAGCCCTGCACAGAGGAGAGATCCAGGAAGTGCCAGACGAGACTGTAACTCCCCCTCCCAGAATTCCTCTGGGTCTCTCCCCCACCCCACCCCACCCCGCCACTTAGCACAGTTTAGAACTATGAAGCCAAGAGGATCGAAATTCCTTCAGTGCACAAGGTCTGCTAGACTCATTCCAAATGCACTTCCTACTTTGAAAAACGTCTCACAGCCCCACTCACAGACATTTGGCACAGAGTTCCGAAGCTGAGACTGCAATTTGAGGGGTTCTGCCTCCTCTGCAAGGAGGATGCCTGCTCCCCAGCCTCAGAACACCCCCTCAGACCACTCTCAAAATCTAACCCCATTAAAGCTGTGCTAACCCTGAAGGGGCAGTGTAAAAGACAAAGCAAGGGGTAACTCCCATTCACCAACTGAGTCAACTACTCAGCTTATAAGATCCAGAGGTCAGTTCAGGGGTAGACCTTTCTAGCGCTCAAGTCCCCAAAATGGGGATCTCTGTCAGTCTGTAGCTCCTGCCTGGACGCCCCTCCTCCTAGGACACCTATAGCGGAGGTGGCAAACTGGCATCCCAAAGGCCAAATGTAGTTCATATATGTATTTTCTTTGGCCATACAATATTCTAAAACTTGATGAGTTAACCTCAACATTTAAGACTAGTGAGCATGTTTTATTAGAAAAAAGGGGTTTCCAGCTGTTGTTATTAAAGACAAAACAAAACCCCAAAACCTGAGACCTACATCTCTGGCTTGCACCGCCCCCCTCCCCGCCCCCCGGGGCTGGCTGGAGCCCCGCAGCAAATGCCTTCCCATTTGCCACATCAACGACACCTGATGCCCAGCCTGTGTGCGCAGGGGGTCTGCAGCCCCTCATCAAGGGATAACACCCAAACCTGGTCCCTGTCCGGAACGTCTGTTCCCTACAAAGAACCGCGGCTTGAACCCGGCGTGCCGGGGGAGGCGGGGGGGTGGGGGCTCGGAACTCGGGCCTCTCACCAGACTCCCGGCAAGCGTTCCTTGAGCTGGCCCCGGACAGAAGAAAAGGCGCCAGTGGCAGGGTCGAACGTCGGACTGGACGCCTCCCCTGGGTCTAGGCTGATGGGAGGCCCCTGACACCCCCCAGAAGGACGCATTTGCTCGGCAGGCCCTGCAATGTTGGCACTCCGTCCAACCCTTGCCAACCCCCAGAAAGGTCGTCCGAGCTGGCTCCCAAACTGGGAAGGCCCCTGGACCATCCTGGGCCCGGTCCGACCTGGCCCGGAGCGGGAGCAAACCCACAGTTCTCACCTCACACCCGCCGCGAACTCCCGCCAAAGCAGCCGACGGTGAGGCGGCCGGAAGGCACTAAGGCACGGGCTGGCGGGCTTTGCGTTCCCGGCTAAAAGAAAGCTCCGCTTAACCAATTGGGACGCGCGCCGGCTCGAAGCCCCGCCCCCTGGCGCCCTGCACCACGCCGCGCCGTGCGCTACGTGGCCACGTGGCCCGCGCTGTGGGCGGGCGGGACGAGCTGACTGCACGCAGGGCACAGGCGCAGTAGGTGCGCAGCAGGCTGCGTGCTGGCACCTGTTTGCCGTCCCCGGCAGGCCATGCGGTTTGATGGGAACCCGTGGAGATGTCCTTGAGTCCCGGGGGTACCCGAAGGTTGAACGAGGACTCATGGGCAACCATGTTCTAATGAAAGAGTTTCTTTCCCAGGATACACATGGCCTCCCAGCTGGAGTTCAGAGTTTAGCAAAATTCTGAGTTGGGAACATTTACAAAAGAGAGGGAACCACCAGGAGCCGGTTACAGATCATGGGAAAACAAGTCAGGCCTCCCCAGTGTCATTTCCCTCCTTGGTTAGAACTCTAGAGCTGGCCCTGTGACTACTGTGTTTATTGGTGTGGTTATGTGGTAAATACCCGAGTCCTGTCTTGCCCCTAAGCTCCTGGTGAATGAAGACCTGTATTGGTTCATTCATCTTTTGACTGTCCCCAACACACAGCAGGGGAGCAGCAAGTAGCAGGCAAACCATATAGAATAAATGAGGAAAGGAATGAGTGCTGTGTTCCGGCACTGCCCCCCATGTAATGAGCTCACTTGTCGCACAAGAGAATCCCACAGTTTCAGAACATCGTTGGCATTGCATGAGCAAAACCACATGGAAGCCTGGGTGGGTAGGAGAGATGGTGGTTCACATCCCTCCCTCCTTGACTCACCTCCCTTGATGTGACTGCCCCCATCATCCCCTCCAGGGTGTAGCCATCTTAATGCCTTCTTTGTGCCACTTTGTGTGTAGCTACCCAGGACATATTTTTTGTGTCCATTGACTTTAACCCAGGTTGGTGGTGTCTGGTCAGCACTTGCAAAATCCATGTTTTCCATCTTAACTTGCTTTTGTATCTAGGTGCACTGGCCACAACTAGACCCTGAGATTCTGAAGCTGAAACAAAACAAAAACAAAACCACCTTTATTTACAAGTTGTGAGTTGCCTCCTAAGAGTATAGATCTGAATTTGCCTGACACTCCCCTTGTTCTGGGAACACTATCTGTACAGGCAATTGAATTTCACAGTTGTCTGAGGTACGTTCCCACCTGTCCTTCCGAGGGAGATTTATTGTTGAGACGTAGCCCCAAGCATCCCCAAGATGCTTCAGACTGGAAAGTTGCACAGATTGTGATAGCAGAAACCAGGTGCATCAGCAACCAAAGTTCTGTTCTTGGTTATGTTGCTTCTTTGGAAGAAATGTGTTTTGCTGTAATTTGGACATTTGAAAAGAAGCATCACCTCTCAAACCTGGATCGGAGTTGGGGTATTGAGGATTCAGTGGGCTTTTCTTCAAGAAGGTGCAGAAAACCTGGGGCTGCCATGCAGCCAGAACTGCAGGCCAGCGGCCGTAGAGAATGACTGTGGCTGGTCTGACCTTGGGAGAAACAGAGAAGCTCATTTGGGCTTGGCCCCACCCAACTGGGACTGGAACTCAGGAAACCCACCCTGGGTTCAGGCCAGATCACATCACCCAGCATGTCCTGATGCGTGTAGCTAATTCCCTGGGCCCAGAGAGACAAAGGCCCTCCCTGTGGTTGGCAGCCCGCTGGTGTTCCCTGAATGAGATGGGCCTTCCTGCTGTATATCATCTGGAAAAGAGGACTTAGGCTGGCATTCATCTGGGCAAAGAGGCTCTGGCGCCCCTCTCTTGGGCTCACCAGGGGGTTTGGAGAAAGGACCCCTTTCTCAAATTACCACCACCCTCCTTCTCCCTCCTCCCCCGTCTTAGGAGCTCAGCACAGCCACCTTTAGACGTAACCATTGGTTGTGCCCTGTGTTGTACTTCCCTTCCACTATTCCAGAACCTTCCTTAAAGTCTTGTTAAATATTGCAGTAAAGCACACAGCTGAGAATGGAGAAGAGGAATCTAGGTACTGGTGGCTGGAAAGTGAGAAAATGGATGCTGGGAAGCTGCAAACAGATGCTCACCGCACAGGCCACTTGCTCCCTGGCCAAGGGTGGCAGCTCTGTGGAGAAAACTTGAGCCAAGAAGCTGAGGTGGGGGATGGGGAATGGGGAGTGGGAATATGAAGTCCTTGTATAATAATAGGAATTTGGGATTCTGTGAAGACCAGAAACAGTGTGAAAAGTTAAGGAGTGGATGGCCTGAGGGCAGAGGATGTTTTGTGTTACAGGGCTCTGTCCTCCACCCTATCATCTTTATCAACAGCTTGAATATTGACCCAGAAGGCACATTTGGCATTCTAGAAGATGCCATAAAACAATAAGGAATAAAGGTTATTTGCTGACAGAATTAGGACTCAAAGAGATTCTGAGAAAAGGGAAATTAGGACCAAAAAGAGCCCTAACCCAAAATTGTCTAGTGA